GTCGGAATATAACCATCAAACATTTTGTATTGTATGATATCACCTCAAAATTCTTAATGATTTTTTTAAGTTTTGGTTTTGCAGCGGAAACTTCCATAAAAATTATCTCTAATCAAAGCATAACAAATATTTCTGAAAAATTTAATGCGAGTTCAAATTTAAATATTGTTCAATCATACTCAATCAAATTTCGATTAAATTCAAACATGTTGGATTATAAACAATTCTTAAGAAATTGTTGTAATTTAAAGTTAATTTGATTAAACAATGACGCATTGGAAATAGTGTTGTCATCACTGTAATAATTCTATTCAGTTGTTTGTAAGTTAAACGAACCACCTTCTACAAATATCATTTATGTACGTATATTATGAAAATACTTTAATTTTTGTATAAAAAGTCCAATACTATCATAAACTTTAATTATCTTTATTAGATTAATTGCTAAAGATAGGTGAATTGTAGGCGAAATAACGTAATGTTTTTAATATCTACACCACTAGATACGTACGTTTGCAGCTACATACGAGTATTATACGAGGGTGGATAAAGGAAAATATTCGAAAGCCAAATGAGAACACTAAAAGAAATTAATATACACACCTTTATACAGACCTATATACAAGAATATATAATTAGTCTATGTGTTTATTATGCATGTATGTACATACTATGCAAGTGTAACTTAAAAAGCATTCTCTTACTTAAATTTTTATATATTTTCAGATAAAAGGTTCATTTTATAATAAAATTAACTCATGTGAAATGAATCCCTTTTTTAAGTCAGGTATTTTAGTGGAAAAGAATATACGCATTTTGTTTTTGCTCTTTTTTTTTTTTTTGTTTTTGTTTAAATATTGAAAAATTTATTTGATGTTTAATGCAATTGAGTTGAAATTATGTTGCAATATCGGTATAATATTATTGGATATAATAAGAGCCTATAATAATACAAGAATAAAATTTTATTTTAAAAGTGTCATTTGCATTCCTTATACACATAATACCATAAAACGAATTCCAACATTATTGCAATTTAATTCTTGTTTCTAGATACAAGTGGATACGTTTAGATAAATTTTCATCTAGTTATTCAAATTTAGATCGGAATAGAATATAGAATTTATATTCTATAAAAAAACAAACTAGAAAATTTTATAATTTTAATTAAATATTAAAATTACATATAAAATTTTCTCATTTTTAAAATTAGTTGAAAATGTGAGATTAAAAATAATATATAGATTAAAATTGTTAATAAAGTGCAAAATTAATTTTATATTCAAAAAAAGAAAGAAAAAAATACTTTTATCTCTATTTAACCATAATATTTTATTCACTTAATTGCAATTAAAAATTAAAATAATATGATCAAAGAGAATTTATTGTATTTTGCATATTTTCAGGCGATTTAGATTTTTTTTATTTAATTGGAATATTGGATTGATGAAATATCAATAACATGTAGCTACGTTAATTTCATATTGTTGTATTTGTTTTTACAGTTATTAAGAATAATTAATTGTAAAAAAAATTACACTGGTTTAGGTCTTTGTTGTTCTGTATAGTAGCGAACTCTGGTTGGCCTGTAACTTATGTGTTTCTGAGAAAGAGCTATATGTGTTTTAAATTATAATTCCACAATATGTGGAACAATATTCCACATTATGTGAAATTGTAGCAATAAGAGATTTAGTACCTTTCAATATTATTCTACAAAATAAATTTTTCAAATATTTCCGAGACCAGTACATAAAATTTAATATGATGCTAAATCTTTTGATAAACAAACGGTATAGAATTACAGAACGTTAACAAAATTTGGTGAAATTTTATAGTTCAAGCAGAGATTGTAAACATCAACCAGACGATTGACGATGTTCATCAATTAATAAATGAAAAAATGTCATACTATCTATAAAATGACACTTGATTATTGAAGATTTAGAACCATTTCCGAATTTCTTCTTTTAATTTAATGATTTCAAATTTTTTCTTTTAGAACTGAGAGATTGGAAACAAACTGTATTGATTTTATTGTCAGTATAATATTAACGTACTTCAAAAACTTCCCAAATATTTCAAGGATAATATTGTACAATTCATTTCTCAGGATACAAGTGATTCATATATAAAGAGTTCATATCATAGTTACTATTTATAAGCATTTGTAATAGATCATCTTTTCTATTATGATCGTATATAGATTCTATGTTATCATATACAAGAAAGCAATAAATACTTAAGTACTTTCAAAAAAATATTTCATTTCGATTTTAAAATGGACTCTACTCAATAATTGAAATTTAACATGGTTAATTCCATTTTAAGCTCTTAAGAACCAAATAAAAAGATAAAATTCTCTAACGAATTTTATTTTTTTGTTTCAGAATTAAAATGAAAATGTTAAAAAAAAAAATAGGAAAATTTTTTTTCAAAAGAAAAAATTTGTGTTAAAATCAAAATTTTTCAATTTGAATTCGATGATTTGTAAATTTCGAAATAATTTGGAAAATATTTCATTTTGTTTTCTTGTTTTTCTTGTACTGGTCTTGCCATTTTATTTTTCTGCTTGTTTTCTTATTTTCAACAACAAAAATATATTTTTTTGAAGCCAATTAATCGCTTCAATAGTTCAATAATTGATTGTCGAATTCAAAAATTTTTAGCATTATAATGTCGAAAATATATATATGTATATACAAACTGAAATTTTATAATAAATCGAATAGACAAATAAAAAATAATCGAAAATGGAAAAATTAAGGAGAAAATATAACAAAATTTTCTACAAAATATCTACATACGCTTAAATAATATAACAAACTATAATACGAATGCATAATATTGTGTATATCAGTTATGCATATGTGTATAAGAATGTGTATATGGTGTTATCAGAGTTATATTTCACGGTAATATCCTTAAAATATATTTATAAGTATGTATATTAGGTTTGGTATGGTAAAACATAGAAAATTATAATAATTATGAATTCATGCAAAAATTTATTTTAAAAGGAATTAACACTTGAATGAGAAATAAAATTTTATATGTTGTCTGCCTGCCTGCCCGCTTGCCATGTTATCTACTGTTATAGTACTATCATCTAGTGTTAATATTAATGTAGCATTGCATTTTTAACAATTCACAATAATGAAATTTATTTTAAATGTTTTTGATTTTTATAACAAATAGATATGGTAAAAAAAAAATAAAAAAAATTATTAGAATTCAAAATGGCCGAAAATTTTTTTAATATTTCTAATAATAATGAATTTGATTAAATTTTAAAATTTTATATTCGTTTTGTACATTTAATTTTATAAACATGGAATAAATAAAATAGGATCCTGATTCCTGAATAGGCACATAATTTGAATAATTATATACTCCTCTCTTATTTTCATTCTCTTATATATTTCAATTAATATTATTACTTACTACATTATAATATTCTCTGCTACTTTTGTATATATTCACGAAATCGAGAGAATTTCATGTCGCTTCCTAATTCTAAACATGTAATTTTAATCATAGGTCGGTAGGGAGAACGTAAATTACAAAAAAAATGTACTTGTAGCAGAGTTGCGCCAATTTTTTATTATTCGAAAAATTTATAGTTTATTCTAATTAATTTATTCATAAGAATATTATTTTATTCTAATAATTAATATGAGCTTACTCATGTATTAGTTCAATATGATTCATCCCTACTTCAGTGGCTTACGCAAAAAATAAATTCATCAAACATTATCGTATTTTTTGATCGTAAGTTTTTCTTATCGTAAGATTCAGCAATATTTCTAAATTACAAAATCTGGGTACTGTGAGGAAAAAATCAATTAATGATAAGAAATTCTGTCATTATAAGTGTTATATTTTGTTCTTTTCTACATAACTTACATTGATTATTAAAAATACAAAAATTTTTTCTTAGTGTATAAATTAAAAAAATAGGGTGGGGGGAAATTGTATTACAAATACTTATTCTGTTTATAGTTTTAATATTATCATATATTAAAATCTTTTTATGTATACATATGTTAATTAAACAAAATAATTAACTTTAATTATATTGTATGATTATTTTGGAAAATCTGTTATACAAGTATACGTTTTTTCTTTAAAGTGATAATTAAAAAAAAAATTTTTTTTGTTTCTTTTACAGAATATTAAAATCAACAAGATGGAAAATTAAAATCCAATTATGAATTTAAAGAGAAAATAAATTAAAGTGAAATAATAATTATTATATAACTTTTAAGTTCAATCAAGTGTGTAATTAATTCATGTACTCACATATTATATAGAGTATTTCTACCAATAAGAAAATTAAAATTTTTTGTGTAATGTAAGATTTTTGAATGTTATGGAAATTCTGAAATTGCCTAATTTCTGAATAATTTTAAATTATTATTAAAGAGTAGTTGCTATAGATGCAGGCTGCTAATAAATTAGAGAAAGTATGTTCAATTCACATTTAAAGTGTTTTAAACTCTGCACTCTTTTAACTACGTGTTTTGTCAATTCGGAATCTCTATGTATAAGAAAATGGAAATGGAACGTTAAATTTTCATTTAAGTCTCTTTTATATTAGAAAATCTGCAAAAAAATCATTACCATCCTTTATATTACGGGGCTTGGAGTGAGTATTTTGCCATTTTTTTTATAGTTTTTCAATAAATCTTAATTATTAACAATGTAGTCTTAATCCAATTGATTCCTTGATATTATTATTTCCATTTTTTTTTAATTTTTAAAATAAACTTATAAAATATTTTTTTTCAAAATTATTTTCTGCTTTTGCATCCCATATTTTTTTATATAGCAAAGTAATTGGTTATTATTCTTAAGAGGATTATGTACTTATATAAAGTAAGCATAAGACTTTAAAAGAGGTAAAAATAAGTTTGCAAACTTTTAATTTGTTATTGAACAGGATAAAGATAAAGCGAGTTAAAGTTTCTATTTCCTTAATAACAAAAAAAATGCAAATCTATTGTGTAGTCTAGAAGAATTTTAATGGTTTGTTTGAAATCAACAATTATTATTGCAAAGCACAACACAATATTTACGAAATTTTTAAATAAAAATGCAAACAATTTGATTTTATACAGTTTTAATTTTAGAAAATTGAAATAATTTTAATATTGGTCGAAAAACCCCATAAAGTATGCTACTAAATTAAAATTGTAGCTTTAAATTCAACACAAAAACATTTTTATTCCTCATTTTTTTTCCAATAATTGAACGGTTAGACCGGCCCGGCCCGACCCGGCCGCCTTATTGTAATTTACATTTAGCACGATTTGGGAAATCACAAACCTTAAATAAATTAAATGACAAATTGATTAACTTAGTACGAATTTCAAAAAATTTATAATATTACGAATTATAAAACCCTTACCAATAATTTAGGATTAAAATGTAATTTATGTGGACATTCTTTTAAAATTGGTTCACCAGCATCACAATGATAATATTGACTACAATTTTTTGGATTAGGTAATAGAACAGCTTCAGAACTTTCAGATACTTCTGGACATTTTATATTAGCCGAATAAGCAAATGATGTAATTGCAATTATTACAAATATAATTGAAGAAATTAAAATTTTCATTTTTGCAAAAAAAAAAGTTAATCGAAAATTCTTGAATTAATTTTTACACTCAAACTCAAATATTTAAGAAATAACTAAAATTATTGATGTGTAAAAACTTATATATATAGAATGGGAAGAGTTAAAAAAAATTTAAAAAATAAAATATTTCTAATTTGCATAAAAAAAAATTAAAAAACAGTGCAGCTTTTAATTGTTATCAGATAAAGTAAATAAATTCTTTAATTGAATGAATTCAGAGAATTTTTCTATTTATTTTCAATCTTGAAGTATAAATACAGGTGTTTTTCAAAATCAAATAAAAGCTGTTCATTATAGCGGAATTTTTTTTTTCTGTCGGGGACCGAGACCCTTGGGTCCTCCTAACGTCGATCCATAGAATCTTTTGTGATTCCCATCACCACCTACATTAGCTGTATACCTAGGCCTCTGACAAACCGCAGTATGGCAGCCACATCAAAGCCCTCCCCGAAGCATCTCAGTCGCAGGCGAGCAACCACCTCGCACTCACACAGTAAGTGCTCCATGGTTTCGTCCTCTTCCAGGCATAAACGGCAGACTTCGTCCGCCACCCTGACCATCCCTTTCACTACCCTTGAGAGGCAGTGTCCAGTGAGTCCAGTGAGTATAGCGGAATTTAATAAATAAGTTTAATTAAGATGCATAATTGAGCACAAATCCACAAATTTAAAATTACGATTGTGAGCAAAAATTTATGTGCGCGACTATGATTAAGTTCATAGTCGCGCACATAAATCAAGATCGCAAGTTCTCCCCTAAAATTTTTGAGAATGTGTAACAATATTACAAAATTTCCTTTTGAATGAACCAAAACCATTTTTTGTTTGAATTTAGACAAGCAGATTTGTACAATTTCCAAGTAAATTTTTGGAACGTCAAGCATTTTAATTATTTTTCGAATAATTTTTAAAATAAATTTTCTTCTAATCTCGTCTAAATTAAATTATATTAATAAAAAGAATTTGTAAAGTCTTTGATAATTAAGTTTCACTTAAGACTTTGGATTCTTAAACTTTTAAAGAAATTCCTCTTAAAATATTCTTTCGTATTAATTTTACACAATACAAGTAAAATTTAAATATTTTATAAAATTAAAGGAAACACTATTGAGTTTCTATCTACTACGTTTCTATTTAAATTTAATAAATTTTTTTTTTATTAATATCACATTGCTGCTTTTTAACTATATACTCTCTCTTATATTCTATTCCTACTCTCTATACATAATATTATACTCTCTTTTTGTACCTTTTTTTGTTTTCCACTCATATAAATAACGGGTTGTTTATATTTCGATTTGATTTTTATTGTTTGACACTTTAATTTTACATAACAATCTTTAGTAAGCCCGATTTTGATATGGTTGGTTCCTGAACGATTTGCAAAGCGTGCGCCCCAAGTGTGCTCATTGCAAATGATTACTTTGCATATATATGGTAGATATGGCGCTGATTGCCCGAGGTATCAAAGACTTAGTTTGGTTTTTTATTTCATAATAGAACTACGCAAGTTATTGTTATTTAGCAACATTTAAATTAAGAATGAGATATCAATTGGTTGATTGTGTTACACGATAAAACCCTACCAGATCATTTTTTTTTGGAGTTCTTATACACAGGTCATTATAATATATAGATCATGAACCATGCATTGTTCGAAAAACAAAATGTAACCTGTTATTTCAGCTGTGAACGCGGAACCTATATATTTCAGCTAACATTCCAACAGAAGTCTAAAGGTGTGTTTCAAAAATGGACTCTTCGAATGGATCACTAAAATCCTTATATTTATACCCGTACGAACGTATTTTCGGAGGTTATTATAAATTTGCTATAACTTAATTAATAAAACTTAAAAAATAATATTAATGTCTACAATATACACATATAAGTGTATGTTTTTGATCAGTGTCGAATTCTGAGTCGAATTAACCATATCTGTCTGTCTGTCCGTTCGGCCCAACGATAGCTCAAAAACTAATTGAGGTAAGCTCACCAAATTTTCACAAATTATGTATTATAGTAAATACTGGAATTGTATTTAAATTAGAAGTTATTGAGACGGGTAGGTAGACGAGACGGAGAAGTTCGGGTAGCTGCCCTACAAAAGCTATTTGGTTGTATTTTAGAAATTATTGTAGCAGCCATATAACTTTGAAGGTGATTTAGTAGTATATTATGGAAACTACTGAAATTACTAAGAGTTGATTTTAAAGTTTTTTTAGAAACTCACCCATTACAAAATGAAGAGCATCAACTTTTATACGATTTTATACGTTTTCGATTGTTTTTTTTTTCTTTTAAAATTTTATTAAATTTTATGAAGAATATTTTGCTTTTATAAAATTAACTGATGACATTCCGTATGCATTTTCTATTTTATATATAGAAGATTTTTATATTATTTTTATTCTTTTGTGGTATTCAACAATTTTTTTTATTTTTTATAAAAATAAAACAATGTCTCTTAAAAACAAAAGGACTAAAAATTATTATATTATAAAAGTCATTCTTTTCAAACTTTTATATACACTTACAAACTATTCTACTACTTGTTTTTAATATAATACTTATAATATGCTGTCAAGAACCGACGGTACATTTGAACAAACGTACCTATACATATATACTACATTAAAATGTCGTATACGGGTACAATATTACCTTTGTTTTTAATGAAATCATATTTCCATGTTTGTACTTGTATGGCATAAGACAAAAGTTTCAAAGGATGCCGCCATTCAAAAAATTCAGAAAGGTTAAACTATAATATAAATCATTTAGGTATACACATAATATAGTTTCCTGGATTTTATTTCTATTTCTTTCTCTTTCACTCTCTCCATTTTTGTTTTGGCTTGGTTTTCTGTTATTTCTGAATGTCTTTTAGTGGAATTATATATATAAAATAAAAATGAAGAATAGAATTATAAAAAATAATATAAAAAGAAGAAAAAATAAACGAGTTCCTGAATTTTTTTTTTCTTTTCATTCTTGTGTTCGAAAAACACACAAACAAAAAGCAAACTAACAAATAAACTAACAAACAAAGAGTAGAAAAAAAAAATTTACATAAATCTTTTCAGACGATTGTCTGAAGGTACAATAAAGTGGCTGTTATTACAGGATCATTTTTAGAATAAGTTGTTAAAAAAAAATGCATACTTTATTCTTATTCGTTTTCTTTATTTTCTCGCTATCTTGTAAGTTCTGGCTTTATGTCTAGCTACATACATAAATGTATGTAAACATTCAAATATTCTTCCACAGAAGTAGTGTATAAAAGTGTACTATATATACATAATAAGAGCCATATTACAATAATAATGTTCATAACCCTAAAACACTAAAATACTATTCATAAAAAATGTCTCACAAACGCACACATACAAATATAACTTTTGAAAAATGATACTTTTCTATAAACAATCCTTGAAATTTTATTGGATTGTAGGATTTTAAACTACTTCTTTTTTTTTTCAGTGTTTTATTTTAACTATTATTATTAATATAATTTAATATTTTTTATAAATGTATAGAAGAATAGAATATTAAGAAAGTGCTTAACATTGTTAAAGCACATTTTATTTCAAACATGTTGTAAATTGTGCTTCATACTTGTTTTATGAAGGACAATTATTTAAAAAAATATTTTTAAGAAATATGTATTCAAAATCGTTGGTGTTTTTTCAATTAACTTCATTATTATTATAATTAATTCCTTTATAAAATTTCTGGGAAACTGTTAGGAGGAGGGGCCGAGATTTGTACGGTTTTAATCCAAATGATTAGGCTAAAAATCCCAAGGTTTAATTTAAAAATAAAATTAATTAAAAATTTTCTAAACAGTTTTGTTAATAATTTCTGAAAAAAAATTAATTATATTTGCTTTCTTTTAATTTTGACAATGATTCCGAACTCTTTAGAAATTTAGAACTGTCTAGTTGACCAAAATTTGGCAGACCATTTAAAAATTGAAATCCGAATATAAAACAAAATTTCATATATTCAAAGTCGGCTATACGATCATGTTAATTTAAATCTAAGTCAGATGTTATTTTATTTAAAATATTATACTCTTTGAAGGTATTCTGGGTATTGACAAGGTATACATTTGAGGTATGACCATAAAAGGACGTTTAATATTTGATTTTATCACATAGACCTACGATGGAATTGGTGTCGATTAACTTTTTCATACCATATTATTTTCTTAATTGAATAAAACTCTTTCCATTTCGTATAATTATTATATCCAATTGAATATTTGCAATCTATTATACGAACTTCATATTTGTTATATTGAGCTATTGATAATGCCATTTTGAAATTTTTTATTCTCATTTTGATACTAGCTTAACATTAACACTCTCTTGCATTAATCACACATTTGGAATCAAAATCAGATTAAATAATATACTAAATTTTATTAGAATTGCTTACATACATATTTGCTTATACACAATTTTCAATAATTATATTTCAATTTTAAGTTAAAAATTAAAATTTTATAACAGTTTGTGATACAAATAAAAATTTTGTTCCACACTAGTTATAACAACTACTAACTAATATAACAACAAACTGAAAAATTTTATATTTAATTAATGCATAAATTTAGGCTAAAGTTTTCTTTTTATGATGATAAAAAAAAAATGTCACATGAAAATTATTATTTTCTTATTATTGAATTACAATTGACGTAATCACCTGACTTTATCTATGTGCTTATACAGCATAATTATTATTTCATTTGAATTTCGGCCACAAAACAAAAAAAAAAATTGCAATAGTAAAATATTTGTTTTACTCGTGATATACGTATAAATTAATTTAATTTCATATACACTTGTTTATTACAAATAAATTAACTTTAAACATTGGGAAAACAAATTTTTTATTACAAAATAAATCATGCTTTCGATCTTATATTCGAGTACATTTGATGTCCCGAAAATGCTAATAGCAATACATAAAAACCAGCAGCAATCCAACAATTTAAAGCATTTTGTTCATATAATTCATCTGCTCTTTTATATACTTTCTCAATATCATTATCAAAGATTTTTTCAATTTCTTCTGGTAGACCAATATCTTCAAGTAATGCCACACTTCTTATATAAAAGAATACTCCCATTAATGTTAATTGAATAATTCCCCATACAGAAAGTATTAATCCACATAGAGAACACTTTGGTCCGCAAATTTTCATTTTTAAACTATTGTTTTGTAAATATATAATTAGGTAAATATAATATTTCCGATATAATGAGTTAGTCTATATGGGACTTTTCAAAGAAGGTATAGATTTTAAACTGACAATTGAATACTAAATTTCCACTATTCATAAAATTTAATCGAAAATAATTTTTATGTTCTCTTTTCTCTTTCAAATTGATAATAAAATTTTTATTTATCTTATCATAAATTTTATAATATCTTATCATTTTGCAATAAAAATCAATGAAAGTTAACAAATACTATTAGAAAAAAATATTCAAAGAAAAATTCATATATGTGTGTGCACTATAAAATTTGATCTATGTGACTAAATTAATTGATTAATAGAAAAAAAAAATTCTAATAGAAAGTCAACGACAATTGCCACTTCTATTATAAAATAATATATAAGAATATTTTAACAAAATATTTTTATATTAATTGTACACAGAGTGTTTTGAAAACGTTTAGATGAATAAAAAGATAACGGTACAAATAACTTTGTTTTCATTAAGATTCAAAATTATAGTATTGTTACCTGAAAATTTTAAATTCTCCCCAAAAAATTACTCAAACATACAAATTAATATAGGCTTTCAAAAAAATGAAAGCCTATATTAATCCGAAAACTGAGATACAGAAGTGCATAAGCCAAACAAAACAGTATCGTGTTTAAAATTTTTAATTTGAGTTTTTAATCCTGGAGTGAGCACATATTAAATTTGATCTTCAATTCTCCGAATTTATAAATCTCCGATTATATACAAAGCAGTCACGAAAAGTACCTACATATATAGAATGTTTTAAAAGTTAATGATTTCGAATTTCATATTTAATATATAAAATTATTTTTCTGTTACTAATTACCGCAAAACTGAACGGAATACTAATTAATAATTTGAATTTCATAAAAAAATATATTGAACAAAATTTATAAACTCCTCTACCAACCTCCTATACATTTTTGTTTAAAAGAGTTAATAAATGAGAATTTGAATTTAAGCCAAAGTTAATATTGTAGTATATGCTACATAAGAATGTGTAGTTTGGCATAGTACGCCTCGTGTATTCCTTTATACGTCATGGAATGTTAATTGGTTGCGGTTTTTTAAATTATTTGCGGTAGTTGAAAACAAGAGTTTTTTAGTGAACAACATTAAATTAATTTTTTTCAAATAGAATTTATAAATTAACAGTACGTGTCGAATTTTTCATAAGTTTATTATAAATTTTATCTGTTTCGGAATCAAAATTAGGAATCGAATTATATGATAAAATTGGGACCATTAAAACTAAATTCAAAGAGATCAACGGAACACAAAAATTGATTCAGACTTTAATAATAACTAAAGAGAAAATTTTTTCTTGTTTATCTTAATAAAAATTTATTCACAATACTGAGGGTTGCTTATCAAATTGAAAAAGGGAAAGTTTCTAATAAAATTAATAATCTTCAAATGACTCTCTTAAATTCTATTTATTGTTATATTAAAATCTCTCAAAAACACTCTTACTTTTAATATCAAATCAATTCTCATGAAATCGTCGTAGTGGCGAGATACTAATCAAAAAGCTATTTTATCAACTAAAAAAAATGAATACTCCAAAAATTTATACACTTACACTTCATTCAAATTTAATATAAACTGGCGGTAGTTTAACTTCTAATCAGATAAAACTGAAACAAAATTTTAAACGAAATGTGCATAAGAATAATATCATTAATCTTCGTACTTTTGCTTTGGTATGTGCCAGTGGGTCAATCAGCAAAAATTTTGGGATTATTTACATCACAGAGTAAATCTCATGTAATAATTCATATGTCAGTGGCAAGAGCACTAATCGAAAATGGACATAATTTAACAATTGTCACCACAATTGATTTGAACGAATCAAATAAAAATTTTCGTCATATTAAGGTTCCAGGAGAAAATGTAGAAAATATGATAAACAACGTAACACAAATGTCTACAATTGAAAAATTTATTAAATTTTTTTATATGTTTCGTAAACTAATGGGCAATTCAATAGTGGCTTTAAAGAGTACTGAAATGCAAAAACTGATGAAGGAAGAATCATTCGATTTAATTATTATAGGGTATTTTTTAAATGAGTATGAAATTGGAGTTGCAGCACATTTTAAATGTCCGGCCGTTATAATTTTTATGGGACAACCAATTTATAGTTTAAATAATTTAGTAGGAAATCCTGACGAAATTACACATATTCCACATCCAATTTGGGGTGAAACAACAAAATATATGGGCTTTTTTAGTAGAGTAGCCAACGCCTTTTGGTATTTCGTGGACAACTTATTATGGTGGACGATCCGAACAAGTTTTAACACATATTATAAGTACAACATATTTTGGTGTTTGAAATTCAAAAATACTTTTAATTTTTTTTATTTCAGAGAACTCTTTCCACCAGAAAAATATCCCTCATACGAAGAAGCATTAAAAAATGTGTCATTAATTTTAAGTAACTATCATTTTTCTCAGGGTCCAATTAGAGCCGATGTTCCCGCCGTGATACAAATAGGAGGTATTCAAATTGAAGAAAACCCAAAAAAATTACCAGAGGTATTTTGAAAATATATTATTACTTATGTACGTTTAATGAAAATTGACAAAAATATTATTTAAAATTCCCAGAAAATTCAAAAACACCTCGATAGCGCTGGGAAAGACGGAGCAATATTTTTCAGTTTAGGTTCAAATGTTCGTTCAGCTGATTTAGGTGCAAATGCTTCTACTGCCATATATAATGTTTTATCATCATTAAAGCAAAAAGTTGTTTGGAAATGGGAAACAGATGATTTACCAGGAAAATCGCAAAATATTTTATTTGAAAAATGGCTTCCACAAAATAGTGTTTTAGCACATCCTAACTTAAAATTATTTATTACACATGGTGGAAGAGGAAGTGTTGTTGAATCAGAATATTTTGGTGTACCAATGATCGGTTTACCAGTTTTTGGTGATCAATCAGCAAATGTTGATCAACTGGTTGAAGCTGGATATGGTCTTCGTTTAGATCATTCAGTATTAACAGAAGAGAATTTAAGGGATGCAATTAATAAAATACTTACAGATTCAAAATATAGTGAAAATATAAAACGGTTCAGAGATTTATTTCGTGATAGACCAATGACACCTAAAGAAAGTGCGGTTTATTGGGTGAATTATGTGTTGAGACATAAAGGAGCAAAAAATATGCAAAGTGCTGCCGTTCATATGCCATTTTATCAGTTGATGGGTTTGGATGTATTAGCGTTTATCGGGATTTTATTGTATGTGTGGCTCAAATTATCAATATTTACTTGCAAATTATTATGGAGAGCGTCCTGCTACGTTTTGTGTTGTAAATGTTTTAGAAAATTTCTTAAGGGGCGTGGAGAAGGTCATTTAAAAGCAAAGAACGAATAAAACCTAATGCATTCTTGTTACACTGATTCTATTTTGTTTTTAATTTTTTTGTCGGATAGCAGCAGATCTATCACAGCCAAATTACATGAAGCTAGAAATATAAATTCAGTATTTTTTGTTTTTTTTTTTTAAATATTTGTTGTATACTTTTCCGCCCCGAAGTACAAGTTAATAAAGTCATAGGGTGATTCAAAAAACGTATAGGTTGTGTTTTGCCAACAATAATAAAATTTTTTCTGTTTAAAGAATAATAACTGTAGAAAATGTTTTAAAAACATTTAGGGATCTATATTGATTTTATCACGGAGCTTAATATTACATTAATGTAGTTGATATTTGAATGCAGGGCGTTTATAATTGCGTTCAGAATAATAGTGAAATTGGAAAACTAGCATATGATTCATAAAGCTTAAAAATTTTATTAGAATTAACTTACTTCAATGTTACATTAGAGAAAAGATCACTGAAAGCTCTAGATCTAAAAATATGTCAAGGGATGTTCACAAGCTAAGAATGTTTCCTTAAATCAGCACTGTAACTAGAAAACTATTGTCAGCGTTTCTTATTTTCATTCCCAAAACATATTATAACTAATATCAACTTGTTTATCGCAAAACGCATACACTTAAGATAATCGCTCAAAAGCTATTTTATCAACATTATTAAAACAATTATTGGTTAAAAAAGCTACTTGCAAACTTAAAATATAAGTAGTTCTGTTTTAAAGGCATTTGTTGAAAAATTCAAATTTATTGCAGTTCAAATTTGTCTGCGAAGATAAGAACCCAGATAGAACGTTAACAATTTCACAAAAAAATGAATTTAAAAATAATACTTTTAATTTTTATGGGTTGCTTAATGCAAATACCATGGAGTGATTCAGCAAAAATTTTGGGATTATTTACATCACAGAGTAAATCTCATGCAATAATTCATATGTCAGTGGCAAGAGCACTAATCGAAAATGGACATAATTTAACAATTGTCACCACAATTGATTTGAACGAATCAAATAAAAATTTTCGACACATTAAAGTTCCGGGAACCGACATTCACAATTTAATAAAAAATATGACACAAATGAGTACGACTGAAAAATTTTTTCATTTCTTTCATTTGCTTAGCGAAATGATGGACAATTCAAGAGTGGCTTTACAAAGTGCAGAAATGCAAAAATTGATGAAGGAAGAGTCTTTTGATTTAGTGCTTTTGGGCTATTTTGTTAATGAATATGAAGTTGGTGTTGCAGCACATTTTAAATGTCCTACCATTATTAGTTGGATGGGGGAACCACTCTATGCGTTAAACAGTTTGGTAGGAAATCCCAATGAAATTTTGTCTATTCCTCATCCCGTGTGGGGAGGTATAGAGAAAAACATGGGTTTCTTTGGCAGAGTAAAGAATGTTTTCCTAGGTATTGTCGATCATATATTATGGCGGACAATACGTATGACTTATAAGAGTTATTATGTGTAAGTACATTTATAAACTTTCAAGTTTAAGCAACAAAATAATTTTTTAATTTTTTAATTTTAGAGAACTATTTCCACCAGAAAAATATCCCTCATACGAAGAAGCATTAAAAAATGTGTCATTAATTTTAAGTAACTATCATTTTTCTCAGGGTCCAATTAGAGCCGATGTTCCCGCCGTGATACAAATAGGAGGAATTCAAATTGAAGAAAACCCAAAAAAATTACCAGAGGTATTTTGAAAATATATTATTACTTATGTACGTTTAATGAAAATTGACAAAAATATTATTTAAAATTCCCAGAAAATTCAAAAACACCTCGATAGCGCTGGGAAAGACGGAGCAATATTTTTCAGTTTAGGTTCAAATGTTCGTTCAGCTGATTTAGGTGCAAATGCTTCTACTGCCATATATAATGTTTTATCATCATTAAAGCAAAAAGTTGTTTGGAAATGGGAAACAGATGATTTACCAGGAAAATCGAAAAATATTTTATTTGAAAAATGGCTTCCACAAAATAGTGTTTTAGCACATCCTAACTTAAAATTATTTATTACACATGGTGGAAGAGGAAGTGTTGTTGAATCAGAATATTTTGGTGTGCCAATGATCGGTTTACCAGTTTTTGGTGATCAATCAGCAAACGTTGATCAATTGGTTGAAGCTGGATATGGTCTTCGTTTAGATCATTCAGTATTAACAGAAGAGAATTTAAGGGATGCAATTAATAAAATATTTACAGATTCAAAATATAGTGAAAATATAAAACGATTCAGAGATTTATTTCGTGATAGACCAATGACACCTAAAGAAAGTGCGGTTTATTGGGTGAATTATGTGTTGAGACATAATGGAGCAAAACATATGCAAAGTGCTGCCGTTCATATGTCATTTTATCAGTTGATGGGTTTGGATGTATTAGCTTTTATCGGGATTTTATTGTATGTGTGGCTCAAATTAACAATATTTACTTGCAAATTATTATGGAGAGCGTCCTGCTACGTTTTGTGTTGTAAATGTTTTAGAAAATCTGGTGACAATAATAAAAAGGCTAAACTAAAACCTAAAAAGGAATAAAAGATTGTCAGGAATTTTTAAAATATTTTAAGTATTTTGGTTTTTAGTTAAATTGTAAATAATTAAACAAAGTGTAAATAAAATATACAAATTTGAAATTATTATAGAGTAAAATTTAAATTTTAATGTTGAGTAGTAGTAGGTACTTATTAAACAACAATTCGTAAAAATATTCTGTTTTGGATTGCTCAAATTTAGACAAAATTCTCGTTATCTTATCGAGGTATTAAATTATTAAATTTGCATCTTATCGTTTATATATAATTGAAAATCGATCTGAACATATTGGATTATTAAAAAAAATGTAATCAAATTATATTTCATAATAAAAATAAAAAAATGAGTAAAAATATTACAAGCAAGTTATGTAAGATCTTAGTAATAAATAAATAACAAGGCTATTCCAACACATTACGCAAAATCCCGGCGTTACAAAAACTAGGTCGCGGACAATACTTTTATTTCTCAGTCTTTTTATACCTGAGTATAACACAACTATAACACAATTAAAGTTTTGTTATTCATTTTTGTGTTGACAATATTGTCATTTCATATAAATAGATAAGAATTCTTCATATTAATTTTCGAACATTATAAAAACGTAGATTCATAAAAATTTTTAATGCGTAAATGGTGTTGGTTGATCTCGTAAGTGATAATTTCTAAAAAACCCGGCGCGTACTTCCAAAAAAACCCCCCGCGTAATAAAAAATACTTCGCTCAGTCACAATTGAGAGGAACATAGAGATAGAGAACAATATTTTCAATTTGCGCTACTGTTCTACCAGTAAGACAACTACAATTCAACAATGGAAAATAGAAAAACGTAACCATGGGTGCATTAAAAGCTCTGTGTTGCTTGAATTCTAAATTGAATTTTGATTTGATCTCATGTTTCGAAAATATTATTTTATACATAATATTCTTGAAAATTTCTTTGCAAATCCATACAAAGTAAATAAGTTGTATTCAACTGATAAATGTCATGGGAATATTACAAATGTTAATCTAGTTTATTTAGAATTAAAAATCAGTTCTAATATATAGAGAAATTCCCATGTTAAACTCATATTTGTATTAAAATACTATTGAAAACTTGTTTTATATACATACGTACACAATGTAAGACGTCACCAAATTTTAAAAAGCTTTTGGAAAAATTAAAAATCTTTAAGCTTTCTTAAATAAGATACAAAGTTTTAATTAAGCTTTCGCTCATTTTACTTTTCAATATTCTGGTCAATTTAATATAATGATGTCATGATTTTATCAAAGTGATTCCAACTGACGAAGTTTATTCGATGTCATTTAGGTTGCATAACATAAAATATTTATATTGCTTTCTCATTTCATTTAGCAAACAATAATTATATATAACTTTAATACAAATATGTTCTGTATATAACTCAGGTATACATATTAGGTTTGTTTATGCTTTTACAACTGAAATCGGACTAAAATAGAATAATATTAATACGTATAAGAGCTAAGCACATTAATTCAACGACTTTGTTTTTATTATTGATTCTACATTATTCTCTCTTATAGAAATAGAATTGAGAATTGAGATAATAACGATTAACAAGTTAACTTAACAATGTTTGGGTCTCACTCACGCATTTTATTTGTATAAAATTTTATTTGAGATGGAAAAAAAGCATTTAGTTTTTATTCGAATTTGTATAGTGATACACGAATAAATTTGCCGCAATATTTTTTTGTCATACATTTGTATGTATGTATATAAATAATTGAAGTGAAATAAATGTAAACAAAAAAATTAACTAAAATAATGAATTTCAAAGTAATTCTTATGGCAATAGCATTTTTAACAACTCAAATATCATTTAGTGAATCTGCAAATATTTTAGGATTATTTACATCACGTATTAAATCGCATGTAATAATTTATATGTCTGTAGCAAGAGCATTAATAGAACATGGACATAATCTTACAATCGTAACAACTGTAGATTTAGAGGATTCAAATTCAAATTATCGACATATAAAAGTTCCAGGATCAGATTATCAAAATATTATTGGAAAAATGGTTAATTTTACATTGACTCAAAGATTATTGAACACTTTCAATGTGTTTAGTATAATGATGGAAAATTCAAGAGTTGCTTTAAAGAGTTTGGAAATGAAAAATTTATTAAGTGAAAATTCATTTGATTTAATACTTTTGGGTTATTTTATGAATGAATATGAAATTGGTGTTGCAGCACATTTTAAATGTCCTGTTGTATTAGTTTGGATGATACAACCATATCAGCCAATTAATACTATTGTTGGCAATCCGAGTGAAATGATGTATATTCCGAATCCAGTATGGGTTGGAAAAATTGAAATGAATTTCTTTGGCAGAATGAAGAATGTTCTGTTTAGTCTTGTTGACAATGTTTTATATTGGAATTTGCGGAGAAAATATACAGAATACTATAAGTAATACCCATATATATACATACTTTATAATATAAAATTAAATATTTAATTTTTAAAACTAATTAATTTTCAGTGAACTATTTCCACCTGAAAAATATCCACCCTACGAGGAAACTTTAAAAAATATTTCATTAGTTTTAAGTAACTATCACTTTTCGCAAGGTCCGGTTAGAGCTGATGTTCCAGCAATAATACAAATTGGTGGAATTCAAATTGAAGAGAACACCAAACCGTTACCAGAGGTAAATATGTAATTTTATTATATTTTAATCTAAATTTATGCAGCCTGTCGTTTCTTTTATTGTAGGATATAAAAAATCATTTAGAAAATGCTGGCAAAAACGGTGCAATATTATTTAGTTTAGGATCAAATGTTAAATCAAATGATTTAAATCCAAATACTATCAATATTATTTTCAAAGTATTAACATCTTTGAAGCAAAATATTATATGGAAATGGGATTCTGGGCAAGTACCAGGAAATTCTAAAAATATATTATTTAAAAATTGGATTCCACAAAATGATATTTTAGCACATCCTAATTTAAAATTATTTATAACACATGGTGGTAAAGGAAGTGTTGTTGAATCAGAATATTTTGGTGTACCAATGATTGGTTTACCAATTTTCGGTGATCAAATATCAAATGTTGATGAATTTGTTGAAGTTGGTTATGGTTTACGTTTAGATTATAAAAGTTTATCAGAATTAGAATTAAAAAATGCGATTAATGAAATTCTACTAAACCCAAAATATAGTGAAAATATAAAAAATTTTAGTAAATTATTTCGTGATCGACCAATGACACCAAAAGAAACTGTTGTTTATTGGGTGAATTATGTACTAAGACATAATGGAGCAAAACATATGCAAAGTACAGCAGTTCATATGCCATTTTATCAGTTGATGGGTTTGGATGTACTAAGTTTTATCGGAATTGTACTTTACTTATTTTTGAAATTAATTAAATTCTTATGTAAATTATTATGGAAAATATTTTGTTATGTTCTATGTTGTAAATGTTTTGGAAGATCTGTTAAAAATTATGAGAGCAATCAATTAAAATCTAAAAAAGAAATTTGAAATATCATCAGGATTTACTTTAATCTAAAAATCATTTTGTTTATAGACCCACACAATTTAATTTTAAATACCTTAATAATATTAATAATTAAAGAATAAAAATAACAAAACCCACTGAACGTACTTCAAGAATACTTGGAATATAAATTTGGTCTATTTGAATTCACGATTTCAATTAACTACCTCCTTCAAAATTTCGAAATTCTGAACTCTATTTGTTGTTTTGTTATTGTTTTTTCTTTTAACATTTAATACAGAATATTTTCAAAAAATTTCCAAGAAAAAAGCAAAAATTTAACATCCTTGAATATAATTTTTTATCGCAGTGACATTTTATACTTAACGGAATTGTTGAATGACCCTTCCATCTTGATTTTACCGGGGGAAACCGCAACAAAAAAAATAAAACTTTATTATAAAATTTCCTGTTAACCTCAACTTGTTTTATTTTGTTTTGTTTGTTTCCATTTTTTAAGGTAAATTTTAAATATTTTTATTATTACTTTTGTTTTTTTTTCTGTGCTATCATTTACCAACACAAATACGCATACATATATACTTATATACTTTTACTATAGAGCTGTTAAATGCAAATATCCTTTTCAGTGAAGAAGAGAAAATTTTCAAGTGATAAAAGAAAAACCCATGTCAAGTGATTTTGAAGTTATGTACAAAAACTACCTATGCCAAACATAATACAAACCAAAAAATTTTATTATTACAACAATCAATACTATAAGGTACCAAAGTCAACTTCATTTTCATTACACACATACACTGAATTATTGCTATATTTATTTATGATATGTTGCTGTGTGTATTGTCAGAAAATATTGGTAATATAATGATAATATAATGTTGCTTTCATCTATAACACTGATGATGATAGCAATGAAGATTTTATATGATTATACGAGTATAATAAAAATAATAGTAATGATGAAATACACAATAATAATCACTTTCCTCTCTATGCGAACAATTCATATTATTTATGTAGTATAACAGGTACGAAAAATCATCGCAATGGAAACAAACAATAAAAAATAAAAATGGAGGACTATTCTGTTTGTATATATTCCCTCTTATATAAGTATAAAGAAAAAAAAAAATTTTCTGAATATGACAGCTAGGAAATTGCTTTTATTACACACGTGAGAGTCACTTTAAATAATTTTCAATTTTAATACAAAAATCTATATTATTTAACAGGTAAATATATGTATATGTGTATCATGAAGAAGGTCTTTCCGAATACATTGTATTTATTATACTTAAGCGAGCATTATTATCGTATATACACCAATGTATGTGAAATTATTGAAAATCGTGTAATTTCAGCATAATTTTATGAGCTAATGAATTAATTTTATTTATACTCTCTAAATAACACAATAAGAACGTCCATAAAGATGGAGATATAAAACCGACTTGGTATATCTGGCAAAGTAATTTTTAATGCTAAATAAATTTAATCATGGACTAGTTCACAGTCTCTAATTCTAAAGAACACCAGCTTTTAATATTACAGTTAATTATTAAAACGGATTAGGAAACGGAACGAGTTGACCAATATGATTGGTAAAAATCAAATTTATTAATTCCAAAGATAGAACTATAATCGCTTTCTATTTTTTCACATATATCGTAAAAAAATTTAATTTCTGAGATTTTGTATAGTACTAATAGGCCCAAATAGTAATTATTTTAATTTCCAAATTACAAACTGTTCTACATACCATAAACCAATATTGTTAACAACTTAGAAACCACTTAAATTTGACATATTATGAAATATATAAGATATAGATATAAGCACTAATAAATTAGAATATATTTAATTATTAAAACAGGAACATATCGTACATAACTTATAATTATGACATGAAAATTTTATTTTAAATTATAATGGTATTTAACGACACTTCATTTTCCCACATAATGTAAAATGTTATTGTAGAACTATACACACATATATATCTACCTATATTTCATTTATTATATTGTTTCTTTTTTCACTTTTTATACGCAACACAATTCTAATTGAGTAATTAACTTATGTATATAATAAGGTATATTAAAAATAGGAGGAACAAATGGACATTGTATTGTAATTATTAACGTAGTACTTATATAGTAAAAAAAAATTAAATTTCAGAAAACATGTAAATCCTTATTTTCTAACTTAATATTAAAAAAGAATATTATTTAAGAATTCCAATGTCTATGTACAGCCCAGTCTGGACAATATTTTAATTGAAAATATAAATAAGTAACAATTTCATTTATAATTAAATATACATATACACACATACATGCATATATATGCCATGGTATGAATTATGTTGTTAGTATATTGTTAGTATATATAGTCTCGTGTACATTCAGACCCTGTAAATACTATGTACACTTAATGTCCCTATAATATTACTAGTATATTCTTCATTATCCTCTCCTGTTCATGTACAATTAATGTAATAGAAATGTTTCATTTCCTCTTTAGGCTCTCTTCTTGATTGCTCTCTATTCTTTTCGCTTTTTCGATGTTTCATTTTAAAATTTTATAGTTAAAAAACACGCAAAGTTAACTGCTATTATTCAAATTATTTCGCTTTTAAATATAATAAGAAATTAATTTTGTTATTAAAATGGCTCGAATTCAATTCAATGAGTTCTAAAGTCAAAATTCTAGTAATAATGTATATTAATATCAGCAATTAATAAGCTCTAAGAACTCCAAAATGTCGAGCGCACTTATTCGATTAAATACACAATTTGACAGCTCTTTTTCTCTTTACTATCAGCGTTTCAATCAATGCAAATTGTTGAATAATACTAGTTCGACGAAAGGTTTCTACACGAAAATAAATAACTTAACAATTTTCCGGCGAGACTATCACTGCGGTTACAAATCCCGTCAAAAAATATTTCAATTGTAGGTGAGCCACTGCCTCGCACTTGCCGGGACATGAAATATGCACAAAGGTTTTTGCAAATAGTAAAAAATATATTTCGTACTTTAATATTAACAAATTCAAAAAATTATCTACATTCATACATATATAAACAATATTATAGAGACTATATATGTATGTACAAATTTGATGCATGTAAGAAAAGTTGTTGAATTTTAAAATTTAAATATAGTACAGCCAGGCGGCGCCGTTGTTACAAAATGAAAATTATGTAAAATTTTTTTTTTTTAAAAATTGCGTGTCTTTCCTTTCTTGTGATAATTATAATTTACACATTACTTGTTTTTGTCCAGCATTTACATGTACATACATAAAAATAATTTTCCCCAAAATTCTTTAAGAAAATTAAGTTATTATAAATATATGTATAAATTAGATGTACCCTACGTGCGAATAATCTTGGATGTAAAAACCGAATAAAACATGAGTTTTCACATTAAAATTGAAATTTGAATTTTATTAAATTCTCCAAAAAATATAAGAAAATAGTTAGGTATGTATTTATTCGTTTTGTACATCGACCTGTCAATGTTTGTGTCATGCTTGAATTACGAAAAATTTATATGTCCCTTATTAAATTTATGAATTCCTTCGATGATTTTTTCAAAACTAAAACTATCTGAGTTGTTTAGATAATTTAGTAAAATACGTGATTTTCTTCGTCAGTCAAAGTCGGCTTCACTACCAAAACTCCTATACTTATATTTAAACCGACTAGTTGACCATACAAAACCATACAAATTACAACAGCAGTTTTCTTGTGTAAGTACTAGGTTTTTTTCATGAGAAGTATATGATTGTTGAGAATTATAATTTACAAAGAAAAGTGCTTAGAATTTTTTAGATTTTCAGATCTTTAGAAGGTACGTCTTTTAAGACGTCTAGAAAAAATGTTAAAGGAAATTTTTTTGGTACACCTTGGTACAAAAAATTCGATCTTTTGTTAGTTGGTATTTTATCCCAACTTAAATTAATAACTAGATTAATAGTACTAGGAATAATTAGATTAACTTATGTTCATTCAATCGCGAATATTCATAAAAATATGAACAATCTTGTTGATTAACAACGCTTGGTATTTATAAGTACCTTAAGTACCACACATATTACCACACATTGAGCATACAATGCAAATACCACATGAATTTTATTATTTTTTTCTATATTTATTGTGTTATTTTTCAAAAACTTGTAAAAATTTCAAATAATAAGTTTTCACACTCTATATTATTAATGAAATTAAACTATAAATATAAAATATACTTATATAAAATAAATATTAAGACATTAATTTTATAAAACAAGGTAAAGTGTAAAGATTTTTTGATAATATTATATAAGAAACAAGCGATTACAGAAACGCGATCTTTGTTTTCAAGTAATTTAATTTTTAGACATGATTAATTTTAAATTTATATGCTTTACTCTATATAAGTTTATATGAAAATTTTATTAAATTTTATTGTATTGCATAAATATACATTATATATTATATGCCTTATATACACATACTTCTTATACATAAGGTGTTTTAAGTGTTTCAGTAGAATTTTTCCTTTGCGACAAATCATATTTTAATTTGCCCTGTTCTTAGAAAATCATCGATTTAAGTTATATAATTTGTTCAATTAATATACATATTTGTATACATATATATCAAGTCTATATTATTATACATATATACATAGATAATACACAGTTTGTTGTAGCATATTTATTATATAAAATTAAGGAAATCGTGAATGTTGTAAATCATGAATTAATCTGATTTATTACATACAATGTAATTTTGTTTAATAAATAATTTACTTATAACTAAATTATATTTTGTTACAGTCATTATAAATGAATATGTATATAAATTAATTAATATAATTATTACACAAAATAAAATAATGGTCATAAAACGGATTTCCATTGTCGTAAAACTTTTATACAAGATTTCAGTACTTTGTATAATAGTAAAATAATTGTTGGATACAATTGTGTGAAGATGTTGAATTGTTTCCTTCAAAATTTATGTTA